CTGTAAAAGGCATTTCCAATTATAAGGTATTTCCAAACTGGTGGAGGGTACTCCCATACAGCACAACAAGATTGCAGCAGCATTGTGGCAACATTTTATTGCATAAATATTGTAAAATGTTGCAGCAATCTTGCTGCAAAGTTAAAGCAACGGTAAAATGTTCGCTTTCAGAAATATTGTTCTATAACATTGCAGCAATAATGCAATAAAATATATATGTAATATTACTATTTGATTATTGGAAATGTGCCAAATACATGATCGGACTGAATGTTCTGTACCTAATATTTTTTGCGTGAATTTTATTTTCATAATATTTCTGAAATGTTGCTGCAACGTTGTTTAAACTATATTGCAAACTCATGCCTATATATAATATTTCTATGCAATGTTGTTGCAATATTGCTGCAAACTTGTCTGTACCCAGCAAACACAGTATATAAATGTTATATACTCAAGCATGTTACATGTAGCGTATAGTTAGTTGTAATTTCCCACTCATAGATGTAACATTTTTAATATTACATATATTACATTGTAGTTATATTGTCATTATATCTCAAGATAGCACTGACTTATCAATACATCAATGTACTATTTGGTATATAATTACAATATAACTACAATGTAATATATATTATATTAAAATGTTACATCCCAGCAAACACCGATATATAATTGTTACATTGCTATAATAAAACGGAATATAACAGGTAATATAACGTGTACATTACATGTAACATCCATGTTAGTTGTAATTTCCCACTCATAGATGTAACATTTTAATATAACATATATTACATTGTAGTTATATTGTAATTATATACCAAATAGCACATTGATGTATTGATAAGTCAGTGCTATCTTGGGATATAATGACAATATAACTACAATGTAATATATGTAATATTAAAAATGTTACATCTATGAATAGGAAATTACAACTAACATATACGTTACATGTAACATACTTAAGTATATAACATTTATATACTGTGTTTGCTGGGATCTATGAGTGGGAAATTACAACTAACATGGATGTTACATGTAACGTACACGTTATATTCCATTTTATTATAGCAATGTAACAATTATATATCGGTGTTTGCTGGGTATATTCAAGGTAAATTCTTAGTAGATAACGTTCGCCCTTTCAACCTTCCCGACTACAGCCGTGAACGAAATAATACGACGCGTGCGAATTGCATAACGTGAATGGTGTCGTTGACGTCGTCGTCGTAATTAAACGCGGTCGTCGGCGGCCTCTGCTCTCTCGCTTCTCTCCCGCTAATCAATCGTAATTTATTAACAACGTCTTCGCTCGGCGTCGCTCGAGCACGGGCAGGTGAATAGAAACAACATGGGCGCGGTTTCTTCCTTCTTTTTTTCGCCCTCTGCTTCCATGGCTCCGCAGCACCCTGACCCTGGGCACACACGGCCAGCTGTCTCACTCCACCCCTTTTGTAAGAGGTGCATACACTATTCTAAGAGTGGGATTTGTCTATCCCTTCGTGCGCAGAGAGTAAGAGAGAGAAAGAGAGAACGAGAGAGAAACAGAGAGAAAAAAAGGGCTGTTTAGGCCTCAAGAGGAGAGAGAGAGAACGACAGGATCGTCGGGCGAGAGAACCAGGGCAAAGGAACTTTTGTAGAGAGCCCGCGAAATAATTAGCATGCTCTCCTCGGCAGCCTAATTTTAATGGAATACCGACATACGGCGTTTCATATTGTAATTCGTCTTACATTGTAGCTCGTACGGCTCTGAATATTATTATCCTTCGCGTTTCCTCCTCGCGACAAACGTCCTCACGAACGTTGAAAAGAGTAACGCGCGTATCACACAATGTATATGATGCTCGATTGAATTCCGAAGAAAATTTTCGGGTGAACCTTTTCCGTGATTTTCTAATATTTCCAAGTACAAATTCATTCGCATAAGATTTATTTTAAAAATAGGAGAGAGAAGTGTTTGCAGAAGAGAAGACAAGGAAATTTATTTTGTAGTAAATTCCTATGTGGAAAATTGTTGAGGCAACTTTAAAAAATGTCCGCGCCTTTAAAGGCTTAAATTTGGGATCCCTATTAGAGATTTTCACATTTTTGTCAGATTAGATCCTAGTAAAGTGATATCAGTTTTGAGTAGCTAATTTAATGTATGGTCTGAAGGAAACCAATAAGGATTCTGATAAAGTTAGCAGTTATTAAAATAAATTATGATATTTTTAACTTATTATTTATCAAAATCTCAGTGTCCTTACTGGTTTCCTTGATTAGATAGACGCACCACACAAATAAATAAGCTACTCAAAACTGATATCGCCTGGAACCTAATCTGGCAGTAATGTGAAAATCCCTAATAGCATAAAGACATATATATCTATCTGATATTTATTTGATAATATATATGTATCAGATAGATATATATTTCTTTAGATATGCCTTCAGAAAGATTCATTCAGCCCAGAAAAGTGTAACTGAAAAGATATATTATTAGAATTTCGCAATGTATTTAAACAATGCGGAAGAATGGGATGGAGGACACAAAATGCGTGAGTCATCACCGAAATAAACGGCAGAATATGCAGGCGATAACTGTAATAAGTTTGTAATTTTATCGAAACATATATGATATATCATATAAATTGATAAATAAATTAAATTGCATTTATTTTTGTATTAATTTTACGCACTTATCCCAAAAAAGCGGGTACATTCCTGGAAATTATAAGATCATCTTATAGGATAACATAAAAGATTTCATAAGGCAACTAGACCCTGATTACTTAATCTTTAAGGACCCTCGATAGAAAAGCGTGACCGATCTTAAAGGGTTCTTATTGGGCTTCCACATCAGGATCTTAATAAAGTTAGGAAAAATTAACAGCGGCCTTATCAAAACCTTAGATAAATTTTTATTTTATTAAATTTAGCTTAATTATTAAACTTTGATTTTAATAATCTATAAATAGAAATTATGCCTACAATAGAAAATAAATATTTAAAAATACAATAAAAAGTTTACTTGTATATATTAAGATTTTACACATCTTTTTTTTTTAAGTATAACAGTTTACACGTGTAAACTATTAACAGAGATTACAGATATAAGATTCAAAAATTGATCTTTTAGAAAAACATTTTTAAGTTTTATTGTATTTTTATTTCATTCTCTTCTGCATGAAAAAGGCGTAACAAAAAATTGATAAAAATTACATTTGTTGAAAAATTTGTTCCTAAAATTTCGTCAATCTTATATTTATATAAACTCTATTAAATATTATTCGCGTCTAAACTGTCCCTAAAAAAACAATAACAACCATAGTTTTTAGCTGCTTATATATATTACAACTTGAAATTTAGTTATCATGCCGAAATTTTAGCTATGGTAACTAATATTTTTTAGTTGTAATTTAACAGAAAATCCCATATATAGCTAAAAAGTATTAACTAAATATCATATATGATATAAGGACAGTTAAAATTTAGTTATGGTACCTAATTTTTCCGTGAAAACTTAAATTAATATCACACAATAAAATATCAATTTCATATAAAAAAAAAAAAAATAATCTTCTTCAACGATTATAACGATTCGAAAGCGTTGGACGTTCAAGTGACATAGGCCCTCGCGGTTCTCCATAAAAAAAAAACACCCGGTAGATTTCTGCAAACCTAGCGCGATGACGAAGGCGCGAGCCGTAGAATTCACATGCATACACGCGTGTCTATGCAACGTGCGTTTGTGGTTGCGCGCGCAATTGGCGCAAGATACCGAAAGCAAGGAAAGAAGAGAGAAGGAGAAGGAACGTGAAGGAAGAAACAAGCGTGCACACACGCACGCACGCACGCACGCATGCACGCGCGCTAGCTGCGCAAACCGGCGTGCGAAAACCGACCAATTGCGAGCCAGCGCTGACAAGTGGTGGGGTCGCCCACGTGGTCCGCGCGCGGCCAATCGGCCCGCGCGATCGCGTTGACGTATCTCTCAAGTCGGTTTCCCGCTCGCTCGGCGCGCCACATTCGCATCATTCGCGTTCGCGAAAAAGAGAGAGAGAGAAAGATCGCACGCGTGCAAGACGGCGAATTCGCGAGAGAGAAAGAGAAGACGAGTTTGCATCAGGTCCTCCTTCCCTCTCCCCCCATCCTAAACCTATCCACGGAGGCAAAGGGGTGAAAGAGGGGCAACGACGCGCCAAACGAGAGAGCCCCTTAGAATCCCGCCGCGTTGCGGTCTAGCCAAAGAGAGGAGAGCCTGAAGGAAGGAAGGTGCGTCGTTGTCGCAAAGAAAGAGAGAGAGATAGAGAAACGGAGGGTGGGAGGGAGGGAATTTCTTGCGGACACGCCGAACCTCAAACTCAGAGCGATCGGGACGAGCCATTTCTGCGAGGACACGCCGGCCGGTCTCCATCGTCGTCGTCGCTTTCCTGACGGACAGCCACCGGAAGCGCGTCAGATTCGCGCAACAGCGCCGCGTTATACGAAGGGAGAAAGAGAGAGAGAGAGAGAGAGAGAGAGAGGGACCACGCACACAGTCGTCGCCTATCCGCGGATCGAGCGGCTCGCAGTCGGCCAGTCGAGGCGCGAGGAAGCTATAGCAGCGGAAAACAAAAGAAGGTGGCCCCAGCCGAGAGTCGTCGAAAGTCATCGCACCAAGAAGGACTCCCTCGTGTGCTTTCTCGCCCCCGTGCATCCGCGTGCATTTCGTCGTCGCTCACCCCTCGGCGTTATTATTATTATTATTATTATTATTATTATTATTATTATTATTATTATTATTATCGCGTGTGTGACCTCTTCCCTCTTCCGCAACACCTCGAGATCCTGGTGAAGGAGAGAAATAAGAGTCATCATCGCCAAAAGGATCCCCATTACGTGTCTCTCTCTCATCGTGCGAGAGAGAGATAGAGAGAGAGAGAGAGAGAGGGAAGGAAAAACAATCACGGATCCCTCTCAGCTTCCCTTGACAATTAACAATTAATTCGAGCCGCTCTCTCTCTCTCGAGTCTCTCTTTTTCCCCGGATCTCCGGGTCCGACAAAAAAAAGAAACGGTGGTCCACGACGAAGGTCAGTATTCGCAGCCGGGTGCGCACGCGCACCGATCGGAGAAGAGCCGTCATCGGGGCACCGATAATACGCGGGACACGTGACCGGGAGGCCGGCGTCGTCATCATAGCGTCGAGAAGGAGCGAGCAGCCAGCAGCAACCAGCAGCACCACCATGTCGAAGCTCTACGTCGGCAATCTGCCATCGGATTGCAACGAGAGCGCTCTCAGACAGCTCTTCCAGGAGCACAACCTCGCCTGCACCACGATCCTGGTTAAGCGAGGCGGCTACGCCTTCGTCGACTGCGCCGATCAATCGACGGCGGATCGGGCGATCGACAAGCTGAACGGTGAGTGACGATTGAGGATGGGATGATTTATTTTTTTTTATTTTTTTTTAGCTAGGTTAGGCTTCTCCGGGTTATGCTTTTTATATTTAATGCTTTGCTTTCCATTCTGCAACGTCGAGGACGGCGAGGAAGAGGATGAGGAAGGAAGAGCCCGAAGAGGAACTCTTATGGGGATACGATTATTTGTTGTACGCTAATAAAACGCTTTTTATCACGCTTTGCATTATACCTATACGCTTCTGCTTCTTTATGCTACCTTATATAGCCTTGTTGTTCAGCTTGCGAACAACCTTTCCCAGCAAACACCGATATATAATTGTATTGGTATGATAAAACGGAATGTAACAGGTGATATAACGCGTATGTTATACATGTAACATCCAGGTTAGTTGTAAATTTCCCACTGATAGATGTAACATTTTAATATAACATATATTACGTTGTAGTTATATTGTAATTTTATACCCAATAGCACAATGGTGTATTGATAAGTCAGTGCTATCTTGGGATATAATGACAATATAAGTACAATGTAATATATGTAATATTAAAAATGTTATGTCTATGAGTGGGAAATTACAACTAACATATACGTTACATGTAACATGCTTGAGTATATAACATTTATATACTGTGTTTGCTGGGTTAATTCCCACTCGGTCATTTTTCAAGTAGCGAACATTGTAGGCTAGTTTGGAGATGAAGATTTCGTCGGCGAAGCTTCAAGATTTTTGTATTCTGTTGTTACTACACTGAAAAAATTTTCTTGAACCTTTGAATTAAATCACTATCTTGTTGATTGAACGTAAGTTTTATATGTTCAATTGACAAAGTAATATTTAGTTGAAAGGTTTAGTCGACTTAATAAATTTTTTTCAGTGTTTACACGGAGAGAATTTTTTCTTAAAATTTATCCTAAAAATCATGGTAATCGTGGAATAATATTCAAAGAATTTTATAAGTTTCTCTGATTGATATTTATCAAAATAAAAATTAACATGTACATAGTAAAATTAATCGAAAATATTTTATTGTGGTAGATATTAATATTTTTTATTGTGGTAAAAATATTAATCAGAGAAACTCTCAATATTGTCCCACGGTTACCAAGATTTTCAGGATAAATGCCAAGAGAAAATTCTCTCTACGTACTTATACAAAGTCTCGTTATATTTACGCTGCTTTTACACTGAAAAACAAATTATTGAATTCGAATAAATATTTATTTCAATACATCCTAATAAATCATTCATTTGAAACTAATAATATTAATTTGATGTGAATAAAATATATATATTTATTTGACATAAGATAATACTTTTCAAAACAGATACAAATTTATTTCTTTCAAATCAACGATTTATTAGGCAGTATTGAAATAAATATTTAATAATTTTTTCAGTGTATCTGTCTCTTTTGCTTTTGCAAAATGTACAAAAAGAATAATTGTCGACACGTGTCAAAGGCGAATCTTGATCTCCACGCTTTGTCCAAAACGCTTCTTGCTAGATCGTAATGCTTTTAAATAAATGCTAGAGCGAGTATTTGTCATGCGTTTTCGAAGAGACGACCGAAATATTCCAGCAAATCTCTGGAAAGATTTCTTCAAACGAAAAAATATATGTACATATGTCACGTTGTCATCACATCGATAGTTGACCATCGATTGTTTTTTTTTTCCTCGATAGACGCTTTGACATGAAATTGGATGACATTCGCGAGAAACGTCTCGTTCGATTTATAATATTACAAAATAATCACCCGATGTGGCGAACGAAACTGTCAATAATCATAACAGTATATTATATCGGTAATTATATAATAATCTTCATTATATCAATATCAATAATTATCGAAGATATCTGACATGTTTTCGATTGACAAATAATTCAATTCTAATTTCTCTGGTAAAAATAAATTCAAAGGGATCTAGTTGCTCCAAAAAAAATATTAGTAATGTGTCAAATCGTCCAAATATATCGACATAAATTATTCGATTTATTCGATACAACTCGATGTGGCACAAAGGAAACTGTCAATAATTATATCAGTAATTATATCATATAATAATCTGCATTACATCAGTAATAAATATTAATAATCATCGAAGATATCTCGTATGTTCTCGATTGACGAATAATTGAATTCTAAATTCCCTGGTAAAAGTATTTAAAGGAATCTAGTTGATCGAAAAAAAAAAAATATTAGCGATCTGTCAAATTGTCCAAATATATTGATATAAATTATTCGACGAATAAATAATTGAGACCAAACTGAAATGACTGAATAATTGGCGGCTATTTATAAGAATAGCTTCTGATCGAATTGATTTTTATTGGTTGATAAAAAACTTAATTCTCTCGCTGTTACGCAATCTTCATCTGCATATACGCACGTGTGACATTTATATGTGCATGTATTACACATTTTCATTTCTATATAAATATTTATAATAATATACAAGCTTTATGTATATGCAAACATAATTGATAAAAAAATATTTAATAATCGAAATAACTCACGTGTTTGATTGGTATAAAATAAATAGATAAGCAAAAATATATAAATGTTTAAATTAAATGAATAAATAAATAGATATTATAAATAGAGATAAATGAAATAATGACATAAGAATACTTATTCGCTCCACTTTCGATCGTTGTCAGATTGAGATCTGCTCGTAAAATTTAATTCACTCGCGTGAATTTAACGAGCGTCGGAAATTAGGATATTGCCCAAAACACGCGCGTAATTGACGTTTATATCTCGAACTTTACTTCGGCTCGGAGGAGAATTCGGTTCGATTCGCGCGAACGAAATTATACGGTTTGAATGCTTCCAACTCGGACTTCTGTCAAAAAAAATAAAGGCGACCTCTTGCTCGACTCGTACAAATTCCTTCTAATCTTGCCGTGATTTTTTTTAGGAAGGTCCAGTGTATGTCAAAAAAAAAAAAATATATATACATATATACGATATATCTTATCTCGTTCTGAAGCCTACCGGGAAATTAAGTTGCTACAAAATTACTATCAGTGATAATATTGTCTCAAAAGTCACTGAAAACGTTACCACAAATGTTTCGTAATAAAACATGATTAACTCGAACATCCGGCGAAAAATGACAAAGTTATCTTATTATAAGATTATAGATTTTTGGGGGGATTTAGATTCTTTATATTACATATATTTTATCATACAATTTATTGCATACATATCTATATAATTTTATATTTATAATATAAAATATATATATATATATATATATATATATATATATATATGAAATATGTATAATATATTTTTTCCCGCCTTTTTAACTTAGACCTCAAGTCGAGGGTTTGTTGATAGAAAATACTCAGTTAATTTTCTTCGAGATAATGAGAGGCAGTTAATTCATATCTGCTCGACAACTCGGGCGGAAAACTTATTCACGTGGTGAGAGACACTCATCAATAAAATGGCGCCAGTTTTGGACAAGGTCGTGTCTGTGTGCGATAAGTCGCTGATAATCGTACGTGTCGTACCGTCATCTCGATCGCTCCGATTATGAGAAACCGGCCTCTTCCCGCCAAAACCAGAAACACATTGGCGAACGCGATAAAGAACGTTTTCTTCCCAGGGAAGCACATAAATATTCGAGAAAAGAATTTTTCTTTTTTCTACAAATTCTCAACAATTGCTCCGCGGGAGGCAACATCTATCTATCTCTCTCTCTTCATCTTCTCAACAATACTAACAAAAAAAACCGGTGTGGTACCTGAAAGATCCTATCAACTCGAATCTTTACAATGGCTCGCTGTGGAATATTTTGCTTTTTATTATGAATATAATGAATTTTCTAGAAGATATATTAAAAGTAAATAAAAATCGAGAATTCTTTCTTATATAATGTGATACAAAGTGCTCGTCAAGAATCATTGAAAGAAATTAATAAGCCATCGAGAAACTCGTACACTTTTCTGTTCATTTATCGAAAATATCTATTCGTCCAAGATTGATGATTAAATGAATAATTTAATGATTAACTGAATAATTAAGTGAGAATAGCAGCTTGAAAAAAAATACACAGAATTTTCTCTTAGGATTTATAGGTACTCTGCAAATTATGGAATCGTGGGATAGTATTGTAAGAATTTTATAAGTTTCTCTATGATTAATATTTTTATCACAATAAAAAATATTAATATCTATCACAATAAGATATAAAAAATATTCGATTAATTTTATTGTACTCTTATAAAATTTTGTCCGGCGATTCATGATTTCCAGGATAAATTCTAAGAGAAAATTCTCTCCGAAAATGTTGTTTGAAACATTCTTTATCTTTAAATAAGAATATGTAATTTTTGTTTTGTTACAAAACATTTTTTTTATATAAAGAACATCAATCTTCGTGAAATTTTCGAGACTATTATTCACTCTTATAAAATACTTTTAATATCACGAGATTTTTGATCGAAATATTCTTTCGACGAAAAAAAAATATATGTTTAATATATTTATATTATTCAAAAATATTAATATATCTGCCACAATAAGATATAAAATATTTTTTATTGTGCTAAATATTAATCAGAGCAACTGCTAAAATTCTTCCAACACAACATATCCCACGATTACCATGATTTTCATCATAAACTCTAAAAGAAAATTCTCTCGGCGTGAAACAAATCTGTAAAATCTAGAAGACCCCATATTAAATAGATATTACAGGATTATAAAATACTATTATAAAATACTTTTAATATCACGAGATTTTTGATCGAAATATTCTTTCGACGAAAAAAAATATATGTTTAATATATTTATATTATTCAAAAATATTAATATATTTGCCACAATAAGATATAAAATATACTCGATTAATTTTACTATATACATACTAATATTTTTTATTGTGCTAAATATTAATCAGAGCAACTGCTAAAATTCTTCCAACGCAACATATCCCACGATTACCATGATTTCCATCATAAACTCTAAGAGAAAATTCTCTC